CTGCAGCAGCAGCAGCAAGAGTTTTATTTTTTTCTGTTTGTGTTTGTGTTTTTGTTTTTTTTTTATTTATATATATATGTTTATAAGGGGAAAGAAAGTAATCAAATAAAACAAAAAAAGCAGCAGAAGATGCACGAAAAGAAGGAGACAAAAAAACCTCCTTGTTTAGTAAACCCTCGTAAACTGCACACAAACCCTAAACCCTAAACCCTAAACCCTAAACCCTAAACCCTAAACCCTAAACCCTAAACCCTAAACAAAACCCTAAACCCTAAAACCTAAACCCTAAACCCTATACCTAAAACCCTAAACCCTAAACCCTAAACCCTAAAAGATCGGAAGAGCACACGTCTGAACTCCAGTCACCGATGTATCTCGTATGCCGTCTTCTGCTTGAAAAAAGCCCTAAACCCTAAACCCTAAACCCTAAACCCTAAACCCTAAACCCTAAACCCTAAACCCTAAACCCTACCCTAGACCCTAAAACCTAAACCCTAAACCCTAAACCCTAAACCCTAAACCCTAAACCCTAAACCCACTTAACTTGTTAATGAAAATTATAAGTTTTAAAAATAGTGGAAGTACGCAGCAACAGCAGCAGCAACAGCAGCAGCAGCAGCAGCAGCAGAAGCAGCAGCAGCAGCAGGAACGGGAGCAGCAGCATCTAGGGTTTAGGGTTTAGGGTTTAGGGTTTAGGGTTTACAGGGGTCTATGGGGGGTACAAAACCCTCGCAGGGTTTATCTTCTCGCCAGGAGGGCCCCTTATAACCTATGTTGCTGCCGATAGGAAAGGCAGCACCTAGGGGGCCCCCATAAACCGGAATATAAAAAAAATAAGAGAAAAAGAGAAAAAAAAGAAGCAAACAACAAAAAAATAATAAAATAGCTGTTGTATACACCATACATTGATCCATTGACATCTCCTTTATTGAAAAATTTTTATACAGAATATACACCACGTTGCTGCTGCTCCTGCTGCTGCTGCTGCTGCTGCTGCTGATGCTCTTGCTGCAGATCCTCCTGCTGCTGCTGCTGCTGCTGTTGTTGCGGGATTCAAGCAGCGATAGCTGCAGGTCTCCATCGTGCTGCTGGCTGCTGCTGCTGCTGCTGCTGCTGCTGCTGCTGCTGCTGCTGCGAACAACAGAACGCATGAGCCTGAAACGAAGTGTTGC